TTGGTACTGGGGATTGAACTCAGGACCCTGAACTTGCCAGGCAAGTGCTTATTCTATTGAGCTATCTCCCTAGCCTGTTCCTGTTTTAGGGGGGCCTGCCCCGTAGCTCAGTCCTTTAAGTGGCTGCTTCAATAAAGCAGTCAGGCTCAGCTTGCTGTGGTTCGATCCCCACAACTCAAGGCAGCCAAACCTGCCCTAAAGGCATTCGGAGCAAAAAAAAAAAAAAAAAAAAAAAAACACCTTTTTTAGAGACAGGTCTCCCTATGTAGCCCAATTTAGCCTTGAATCCCTAGCAATCCTCCTGCCTCAGCCTCCCAAGTGCCCTCGAAGTAGAGCTATCTTTGCTTTATTTCACTCTCCGTCCATCTGCCTCCCTGTCCTTTCCTTCCTGCTCCCTGAAGCATGAAGGTGGACCCCAGGCCTGACCAGGAACCACTCCACCCCTTGGAGCTGTGTGGTATGGACACAGGCCAATGTCAAGTGCCCGTAACAGCCCCTGCCAAGGTCTCCCAGCCAGTGTAGGTGTGAATTGGCAGGGAGCATGCCAGCCCTGCAGGCCCGAGCTGGTACCTTCTATGGCTTCTGCACTGACCACGTGTGGGGCGATGGGTGCCGGGTCCACGTAGGCACCTCCCAGGGCCACACCAGCCGCTGTGACAAGGAGGACAGGGAAGGATGAGTGCAGGACACGGCAACGCGCATCGAGCGCACAGGGGCAGCCTCAGCTGAGAAACCTTGGTGCTGAGCTGCGGCCTCAGCCCTTCTGTCTTACTCTGGGACAGGGTCTTGCTGGGCTGTTGTTCCCAAGTCACAGATGGGGACCAGGACCCTGTAGGCCATCTGGCACACAAGTGGGTAGGCTCCTTGGCAGTGCCATGTCCTGCCCCAGACATGACCAAGCCAGGCTGGGTGCCTTAGAGCCCTGGGTACTGCCCTTGACGCCAGTTCCCGGTGAATGAGCTGTCAGACGCACATTGTGTCCCCAAGACCAGGAGCCAGCACTATGGAGCACGGCATCCCGTGCACCGCACAGAGAGCAGCAGCCCTGTCCCTTCCGTGTGACCTACATCCATGTCCAAAATGCTACCTTGGTTGGTGATTCCAGAACTTACCAGAATGTAAGGTACTGGAAAGGTACTGGAAACACTGGCCCAGAGAAGCGGGGTGCCAGGGTCCCCGCTGAGCAGGTTAACAACAAAAGCCTACATTGTGCTTGCTCCCAGGCCCCTCAGACCACTCGCTGGGCACTGTCACAGCTACCTCAGCCTGGGCCACACTCACCCTCTGTCCACGGGTTGGCAGAGGCAATGTCCAGAGTCTGCACTGCTGTCTCCCTCAGGGTGACCCTCGCCACGGGCCTGGCCTGCCACTGCCTTGACGAGGGAGGCCTGGAGGGCCGTGCTGCCTCTGTGCTGGAGGACACAGCGTCCTGCGCCCCCTCAGAGGTGTCCTCAGAGGAGCCAGGCGTGGGCTTGAGGTCCCCAGAGCTTGACTCGAGGGCCGAGGACCGTGGCCTCCTGCCGCACATGCTGCCCCCCAGGTGCTCTGAGACCTCGCTCTCCCCCTCAGTGGGGACCCCAGCACCAGAGCTGGCTGCACCCTGAAACACTGAGCTCCGAGGCTGAGGCCACTGCGGGGCTTCCAGCAGGGCAGAAGCAGGTACCTGGGCCGCGAGGTTGCGGTCTGATGACTCCTGTCCCACAGCACTAGCTCCCTGTGGGAAGGACAGAGGAACATGAAGGTGGCTGCAACCACAGCCAGGCTGCACAGTGGAGTGTGCCTGTGACCCAGCTCTTGGGAGGCTGAGGCAGGAGGACTGCAAACTCAATCCCAGCCCAGGCAATTAAGTAAGTTAGAGGCCTTTAAAGAGTACTGTGGTGCAGCTCAGGGCGGGGGTTTCCCTGGCACAGCTGAGGGCTGGGCACTGGCTCCAGGGAAAACCTGGCATGGGGGAGGGGAGACTCTGGGTACTTACTTTCTGTCCCAGGTCTGAGTTCTCACTGACAGCTGAGGCCAGATCATCAAGTGACAAAATATTGAGCCTAAAATCTGCAAATAAACAGTGAGTTTCCTGGTGAAAACTCTTTCACCACACAGATGTTTACAAAGACATCTGCACGCTGTCCTCAGTGGCCCACGCTGGGCACCCGTATCCTCCCAGTGCGTGGAGGGCACACAGATCCCAGGCAGGGGGCTGTCTGTCACGTGGGCAGCTGCGCCTCACTGTCCACGTGCTTGGCACTTTGGACCCCATGCGTCTGAAACAGCCACAACATACTGGCCCTCACTGGCCGTGGTGACACACACCTGTCACCTGGCACTTGGGAGGCTGAGCCAAGATTCTGAGTGTGGGGCCAGCTGGGTTCCATAGGAAGGCCTTGTCCTTTTTGCCTTTTTGAGGCAAGGTCTCACCAGGCAGCTTAGGCTGGCCTTAAGCTCACTCTAGCCCAGGCTGGTCTGGAACTCACAGGAGCCAAGCGACCTGTGGCTATCATCCAAGACAGTGGGACAGAACCCAGAATATCGGCCTTGAGCTGCAGCCCCAGCTCTCTTATATTTTTTGCTATTTTGAAACAAGGTGTTGCTAAGTCGCCCAGCAACTAAATTGCCTGGGTTGGGATCGTGCCTGTGACCTTCCTGCCTCAGCCTCGAGTGCGGGAGCACAGGGTGCGCCGCTGCACCGAACTCAGGGTGCTCCTAATGTTGCTGCAGGCTGGGATGAAACCTCGGCTGTGCATGTGAGAGCCGCAGCCCCAGACCTGCTTTCTTTGTGAGAGAGAATCTTGCCATGTTGCTCAAGTTGGCCTCCAGTGACGATCCTCCTGCCTCAGCCTCCTAGGGGGGCAGCAAAGATCTGTGACCTCCTGCCCAGCCAACACCCCAGCATCTGGAGTGCCAGTACCAAAGAAAGCAGCCCAGTAACCACCAGGCCCTTCCTGCCAGGACAGTGCCTTACCATCAAGGCTGTCATTGTCCTCGTGGTTGCCAGTGTCTGAGGCCACCTCCTCGCTGGACCCTGCCACGTTCCTTCTGCAGTGGGAGGCAAGTTGGCTACGCCCCACCGTGGAGGACTCTGACTGCACCAGTGGGCCTGAGATGGAAAGTGGTGCTGTGCGGGAGGCGGGGTCCCCGGCAAGGCAGGTCTGTGAGCAGGCACCAGGAAAGGCCCTGTGTGCCAGCCCCAAGGCTGGTGGGCTCCGCGTCCCAGAAGGCCTCCCTCCAGGGTAGATGCTCTGAGTCTGGATCTGATCCTAATTTGGTGGAAACAAAAAAGAAATGATCAAATTTGTCACCACTTAGCCTCAAGTCCAGAGGCAGAGCCTGGATGAGGCTGGGGTCCCTGGGACAGGCCCGGGAGACTGAATTCTTGTCCCCAGCTCTTCTCCTCTGCTTCACGCCTACCACAGGTGAGCATCCTTCCTGCACTCCCACGCTTCTGCCACGCAGCCCTGTGTCCGTGGCCGGAGCCCACTGGAAAATGGGAACAAAATAAACCTTTTCTCCTGCCAGTGTGGATGTCGGACATTTTGTCCCCAAAATGGAAAAGCTGGCTGATACAAAAACTGGTACTTGGAACAGGATACAGCTGAGACGAGTATCCTGACCATACAGCTTAGAAGAAGCCTTTGGAGTTACTTGCATGCAGCACTTGGGAAGGTTTGGAGCTGTGTCCTAAAGCAGCAGCCCTAGAATGCCCGAAGCCGAGTCTGACAGGAGATTCTGGTCAAGCTCAGACGAGCATGCAACGAGGAACGTGCATGGTGAAGGCGAGGCTCAGGAGGGTCAGGTGGGAAGGAGGCTGTGCTGGCACCGGACAGACCAGGAGGCTGTGCTGGCACCGGACAGACCACGCGTGCTGTCCATGTTGTACCCCTCTCCTCCGACTCGGCATGAGGGTGAATTTAAACATGGGGGGCTAACTAATGCAGCCGAGCGGCATCCCAAGGCATCCCAGTGGTCAGCCTGTGCAGGGTACTGCTGACTGCTCTTGTCCAGACCTTCTATGAGAATCAGGAGAAAAAAGCTGAGATAGGCTGGCACAGTGGTACACGCCTGTGATCTCAGTACTGGGAGGCTGAGGCAGGAGGATCACTGAGTTAAAGACCAGTCTGAAATACATAGTGTTACCTTGCCTCAAAAAATCACTAAATAAATACGTAGATAGAGAAATGCATAGATAGATACAAAAGCAGAGCTGAATTATTTGAAAAGTCTGCCACTTCATCATAAAACAAGCACTTTGGGACCTTAAAGAGCATGATTTCTGAAAAGATTATCATTAAAGGGCTGTGGAGATAGCTCAGTGGCCTAAGCACCTGCCTGGCAAGGGCAAGGTCCCAAGTTCAATCCCCAGGACCATACACCATGCCAGCCCTGGAACCGGGTGTGGGGTCACATGCCTGTCACCCTAGCACTGGGGAGGCTGAGACAGGGGATCACTCTGAGTCCAAACTGTGTAGCAAGACCCTATATCAATAAAAGAATAAATAAAACTTTTAAAAAATTAACATTTTTTTTAAAAAAAATTAACATTAAAAGGAATCCAGGGGGTTGGGAAGATAGCTCAGTAGAATAAACACTTGCCTGGCAAATGCAAGGTCCTGAGTTCGATCCCCGGTACCACAAAAAAAAAAAAAAAAAAAGAATCCACCTGGGCATAGTAGTGCACACCTTGTAATCCCAGCATTCAGGAGGCTGAGGCAGGAGGACAGCTACAAATTCAGGACTGCCTGGTCTACATAGTGGGTTCCAGACAAGCCTAGACTACATAGTGAGGCCTATCGAGTTAATAATCTCCCTTATGGGCTGGGGAGATGGCTCAGTAGGATAAGCGCTTGACTGACAAACGCAAGGATCTGAGTTCAATCCCCGGTTCCGCCAAAAAAAAAAAACCAAACAAACAAACAAAAATCTCCCTTAGCCAGGGAGATAGCTCAGTAGAGTAAGCACTTGCCTGGCAAGCGCAAGGGACTGAGTTCAATCCCCAGTTCCGCCAAAAAATACAAATAATATCCCTTAGTTATTGCAGGCTGATCAGGCCCACAATCTCCCAAACAAGTGTATGGCAAAGGCTTAAGTAAGTGAGACAAGTAGTATGATTTTAGGGCTCCAGGAGGAGCAAAAACCCTCTCACAGAATTTGAGATTTTGGGGGCTTCTGACAAAAAACTTCTCTGGGCAGCCTGTATTTATTTGGTTTTTCAAATAAAAGAGGAAGATATGGAAGAAAACATGGGAATCTGAAAGGAATCTTAGGAGGGCCTTGGGAAACATTTGCCAAGTAGTAAATTATGTCAGTCAGAAGAACCACCTTCTCTTTGGGCTGCACTGACTGCAGAAGCGTGAGGTCTGCAGCTATAGTCACCTTTTAGCTAACTGGGGCTGGAGCCAAAGTCCTCAGCTTGACCTTATCTTGTCCTTTGAGGTGTCCCAGCTTCACAGGCCAGCACAGGCCTCAGCGGGGACCAGTGACTCACAGAGGTCACGTGGAGTCTACTGCCCATCTCCAGACGAGGGCCTAGGCCTCGGACAGACTCACACCTAGACGTGGAAAGCCAACTGCTGCTCAGAGCCGCTTCAGTGTGGTCTCCATCAGAGACCCTGTTGCAAGGACAAAACAAAGCAAACCAGAGGAAACCTCACCGAGGCTGTCCTTCCAGGTCCTCTCTGGCTGACCTTTTCGCTGGCGAGCCCTAGAGGGCTGTGTGTTTCTTCTCTGGAAGACTCCGCCAGGCTCCCCATCAAGGCTTCCATCTCTTCTGCATCACTGTCCAGAGAGCCTAGCTTTGCGGCAGGTTCATTCTGCCAGGAAGCTTGAGGTGCCTGCCTCTGAGTCCGCGTCTGCCGGGCCTCGTCCTCTGCAGCTGGTCGCCTTGTCTTCAGGAACCTGCTGCCCTCCCTGCCCAGCACTGGGCTCTCAGCCTCAAAGGACTTGAGGGCTGCAGCCTGGAAGGTCAGGGGGCTGGCAGAGCTTCCGCAGGCCACGTGCTCTGCCTTCCTGGGGGGATCTTTGCCCATGGTCCTGGGTCCAGACTCCGTGTCACCCTTCGTCCTGTGGGCCTTCGCCCTGCCTAAGATCTTGGTTTCCATCTGGGCCACCTTCCTGAGCACTGCACTGGCTCGGATCTGTGACCCTGTGGCCACTGCTGTGTTGCCAGCCAGGGCAGCAGTGGAAGGCCTGCCCGAGCTGAGCTGGGGCCCCCTCCCCTGCCCCGAAGGCGCAGCGGCGAAGCAGTATTTTGCACCCACACCTCAGTCTCGCTTTAGGAACCTGCTGGCCTCAGGGGCTGCCTGGGCGGGGCGTCTGTGGGAGACCAAGTGTCTGAGTTCCTCCATTTGTGGCTCATCTAGGGAGATGGCTCCGAGGTCAAAGGCCCCACGCCCAGGAAAGCTAGTTTCCCTCGTGGATGCCATCCTAGGAACAAAGGAAGAGTACTTATCAGAAGGAAAACCAAGGCTGGAAGTGTGCACCAGGGGGCCAACCACTCAACCCCACTGGCTAAAGACCACAGCACCTACTCAAGTTTCAATGCATCTGTCCCCTGAGAAACCCCCATGAAAGCCAAGTTGTCATCCATTTGGGTGGGCTGGACAGTGGGGCCTATTTTTTGTTTTGTTTTTTCAAGAAGGGTCTCACAGGGCTAGGGAGATGGCTCAGTAGAATAAGTGCTTCCCTGGCAAGCACAAGGGCCTGAGTTCAATCCCTGGTTCCGCAAAAAAAAAAAGACAGAAAGGGTCTCACAATGTGTGGTCCAAGTCAGCCTCAAACTGTATAACCCAGGCTGGTCTTGAATTCAAGATCCTCCTGCCTCAGCCTCCCATGTACTGGGTTTACAGAAATGCACCACCCAACCTATCCAGCCTTGCTCATCTTTTAAAATTGTTGTAATCTTTTGAAATCTCTATAAATCTTTTTAGGTGTCTTTTGTTTGTCTGTTTTCGGGACAGGATCTTGCTATACCCTTCAGGCTTGAGCTCCCGTTGTGTTTTACTAGTACATGTCTGTGGCTCAGCCTGCCTGTGCGCGACTCCCGGTGAAGAAAGCGAGCATTCTGTCGCATGCATGGTCACGAAACTGTTACAAAAGGGCACTCCTCTGGGGGAGCTGGCCGCATACCTAGCACGTCTCGATCCTTTTTACCTCCCTTATGGCTTTCCCCCGCCCAGGTTCCCTTCGTCTGTGACCCTCACAGGGCTGAGGGGCTGATTCCAAGGGCCTGGGACACTACAGCCCCCTGCACTGCTCCTCTTTGAGGTCCTCCCTGGGACCCTGCGATAGGGCTGTCCCTTACGCAGAGGTGCTCACGGACCTCGGACCTCAGCTCTAGCAGGGCGGGAGCGACACCAGGGACACGGCTCCGTCCTGCGGGCAGGCGGGGACTTTTTCCAGGGGAGAAGGGCAAGAGCTTTCTCATATTCTCAGGGAGTCTCCATGCGTTGGAAGGAAGAGGATCAACCCGACGTGCCCTCTACAAAGGTCAGAGAAGATGGCAAAGACTTTAGCAGGACTGGTGGCCAAGGCTTGTCAGCCAGCACTCTGGGAGGCCGAGGCATTTGGGCTCAAGTAATTTACCAACTCAGGGAGACCCTGTCTCGATATAATTTTAAAGAGGGGGCTGGGTGTGTTGCTCAGTGCAAAGGCCCTGGGTTCAACCTCCAGTACTGCAAAAATGACTTTGAAGATAAAAAACTAAAACGTGCGTGCGTGTGCGTGTGTGCCCATTTGCTGTCACTAACGATAAGCAGAAAGGCGACTCCAGGCGGTGCAGGACGCACGGGCCGCGGGGTCTGCCTCATTCATCCCCGCATGGGCGGGACGGTCCGCAGCAGGATGGGCTGGTCCGAGCGCACCTCTGTGAGCTTGCCAAGAAAGCGGAACCCCACGCTTACCGCGGCGAGGGCAGACAAAAGAACCACAGGGATGCTAAAATCAAACGAAGCCCCAACACTGCGCCCCTCACTCTGTCTGGTTCTCCTCCCCTTCCCTGAAGCAACCCGCAGCAACCACCACGCGGGGCTTCCCAGATGGGGAAACTGAGGCGTGTGGCGCCTTCCCGCAGTCCCTCAACGCGGGCACCCACCCGGCCGGGTCCTGCTCCAGCACTGTCGTACCCAGAGTGGCTCTCAGCGGAGGACTCCCGCTCCGAGGTGCTATTGCCCTGGCAACCTCGCCGATGTTAAAAGCCACTACGGTTTCCGGCGTTCTCGGCGCTCTGAGGACCAATGGCGGCTGAGGTAACAATCGCAGCGTTATCTCGGGAGTAGTAGTTCGGGCGCTTGCCCCTGCGCCGGAGGCCAGAGATGCCTCGGGTCATAATCGCCAGGCATCACGGGACTTGTAGTTTTTAGGCGGCCCCGGCATGCACTGCGCACCGGAGGCGCCATACTGGCCTATGTCATAATCGCGAGGCGTCACGGGAGTTGTAGTTTGGGGGCGGCCCGGCTTGCCACGGAGGTCACTCGGAGCGGAGGGCCTCGTAGGCGGAGCGCGGCGTGCCCCCATGGCTTGGGCTCGCGTCTCGCTCTGGGCGGTGTGCACGCTCCGCGTGGTGCTGGCCACTGTGTACTTCCAGGAGGAGTTTCTGGACGGAGGTGACGGGCGACGCCTGGAGGGCTGAGCTGCGCGGGCCCCCCGCGACGCTCCCGTCTGGCCTTGGTCCTCAGACCGCTGTTGTCCCCGCAGAGCGCTGGAGGAACCGCTGGGTGCCCTCCACCAACGACTCCCGGCTCGGCCACTTCCGACTCTCTTCGGGGAAGTTCTATGGCCACAAAGAGAAAGACAAAGGTCAGTGCAGACTCCGGGGAAGCCGACCCCTGCAGCTTGTTTTTTGTTTTTCGTGGTACTGGCATCGAGCCCCGGGGTGCTGCACCACTGAGCACCCCGCTCATCACAATACACCCGTCTGCTCATCTATTTTGAGACGGAGTCTCCCTAAATTGCCAAGTGGGACTCGAACTTGAGATCCTCCTGCCTCAGCCTTCCTCAGTGCTGAAATTCCCGGCACGGAGCACACTGAACTCGCGCGCGATTATGCGCAGCGCCGCTCTGCGTTTCTCCGGGAGGCCGCCAGGGCAAAAACGGGATTTGCGCTGCCTTGGTTTTCATTTTCTTCTTTCCCTACTTGCCCCACATCACCCACAAGCATCTAGTCATATGATTTTGGGGACTGAAAGCCTTGCTTCACAAAGTTGGAGCCCAGCTCTGGCGACTTCGTGATTGAGGCCCCTTCTCAAATAATAAGACGTCGGGGCTGAAGCTCCGAGAGGCCCTGGCTCCATCCCCAGCACCGAGGCACGCGTGCGCGCATTTCTGCAGCGCAAGCAAGAAAGCAGAAGTACGGAATGGAAGAGTCCTTTTTGCTATGCTTTTGACAGACGATTAATATCCAGTGCATGTAAAGAATTTACCTCCAAAACTTCAATGCCAAAATAATTAATGAACGAATGAATTCAACAGATGCTCCACAAAAGAGGGGCCAAAGGCCTATAAGCGAGTGAGAAAATGTCTCACTAGCTTCAGGGAAGTGCAGATGGGAACTGTCGGGCCTCACCCCAGGGAGGTGGCTTCTGCCGAGAATACCAAGTCAGCAGGGTGCAGAGGCGCACGCCCGCCCGCCCGTGAGGTCAGCGCTCTGAGAGGCTGAGGCAGGAGGGTCACAAGCTCTCCTGGTGGTTTCTTCTCACTGCCTTCCAATCCCCTCTGTCGTTACCACAAGACTGTCTGGCACTGCCTGCAGCCTCTGTCAGGTGGCGCACACCTGTACTTCCTGCACTCAGGGAGACTGAGGCAGGAGAATCACAAGTTCCAGCCCAGCCTGGACAGGCTGCCTAAAAATAAGGATGGGGATGCAGGTCAGTGTGAAGCCCCTGGGTTCCATCCCCAGGACAGAAAGAAGGAAAACAAGTTGACCCAAAGAGTTGGTAAAAACTCAACAGAATGGAAATAGATTATCCCATGGCTGTCCACAGGCTCACTCCCCTCAGGGTTCCTTCCCCTCCAGCTTGGGCTCTTGAGGTGCTGTGACAGGGACACCTGCACAGCCTCCCTAGGAACCGAGGAGCAGACAAAGTGAGGCACTGGGTTCTGGGTTCTGGTGGCCCCAGCTGCAAATGTGTCGCAAATGCTGTATGAGAAAAGAGTATTAGTGAAGCAGAGAGACCTTGTGTCAGAACAAAAGTTTTTAAAAGGCGCTGGGGCTGGGACCCAGTGTGGAGGCCCTGGGTTCAACCTCATTACCAGAAAAATAAAAACTTGAGGGTTTGGAGTTTAGCCCCATGTTAGAGCACAAGAGGTGGAGGAAACAAGGGAGGGAGGGAAAATGATTTGTCACCTGCTGAGACAAAGGAGTTAGCTCTTGAGGGGAACGACCAAGTTTAACAGAAAAAATTTGAAGTCGGTGCAGTGCTACACACCTGGAATCTCCATGCTCAGGAGGCCGAGCCAGGAGGAGTGCAAGTCCAAGGCCATTCTGGCTAACTTAGCACAAGCCCCTGTCTCAAAAATAAAATTTTATTTCTTTAGTGCTGGGAACCAAACCCAGGGCCTAACTACCACTGAGTATGCCATAGGGTCCTGCTAAATCGCCCAGGTGAATTTGCAATCCTCCTGCTTCAGCCTTCTTCAGTGCTTGGATTAAAATGAGTGCCAGCAAGCCTACATAAAAATAAAATTTTAAAGGAGGCTGGAGGTGAGCCAGGCATGGTGGCACACACCTGTAATCCTAGCACCTGGGAGGCTGAGGCAGGAGGATCACTGGGAATTTGAAGCCAGCCTGGGCTATCAGTGAGATATAGAAAAATGCAGCCATCTGCATGTAGCACGATGGCGTCCCGCCTCTGAGCCAGCCCGCCACCTCTTGTCCAGGTCTGCAGACAACGCAGAACGGCCGCTTCTACGCCATCTCTGCGCGCTTCCCACCTTTCAGCAACAAGGGCCGGCCGCTGGTCCTGCAGTACACCGTGAAGCATGAGCAGAAGATGGACTGTGGGGGCGGCTACGTGAAGCTCTTCCCCGCTGACCTGGACCAGCAGACCCTGAGCACCGCGTCCCCCTACTACGTCATGTTTGGTGAGTTGGGCTGCACTGCGCCTGCCTTTGGGCCGCGGCTCAGTGGCAGGCCGGGCGCAGCAGGGCACACCCTGACCCGAGGGGCTCAGCACTCCTCAGCCTGACTGTGCAGGCCGGGCTTCCCTGACCCACCACTCACACCCAGCGTGCCATGCCATCCAACACTTTGTGCTCGGGGCTGGGGCCCTGGACACTCTGTGAGGGTTCTGTCCCTGAGCACACCCCAGCCCTGAAGTGTTTTGAGTGTCAAGGGACACTCAGAAAATGGCATTGCGCCTGGTGTGGTGGCGCACACCTGTAATCCCAGCACGCAAGTATTGTTGTGAATTTGAGACCAGCCTGGACTACAAAGTGAGCTCAGGGCCAGCCTGAACTGCATAATGAGACCTGTCTCAAGAAAAAAAAAAGACCAAAAGAAAGAAAGAAAATGGCATTGCAGCCAGGCCTGGTGGCCAAACCTGGCATCCTAGCACTCTGGGAGGCCGAGGCAGGAGGATTGCAAGGGTTACGCTGACTTGGGCAACTTAACAATTTAGTGAGACCCTAAAGAAATAAAAAGGCTGTGGATGTAGGTCAGTGTGAAGGCCCTGGGTTCAATCAGTACCAAAGGAAATAACCATTGTGATTGTCTAGCTGACAATTGTCAGAAGTTGTCAATGATTTGAACCTTTCATAGCTAACATATTACTTGAGCATTGTTTTTCATAAATCTTATGGAGTTGAATCCCTGATACTTCAAAAAAAAAAAATATATATATATATATATATGCCCTACAAATGTTGTGGTTATACTTTTCTACTGGCTGTTCAATACCCAGTGCAGTGAAGACCCATATGCATGAATTCCCACTACCTATCAAGGTCAGTTAAGTCTCCTCAGGAAGCACCGTGGAACCAAGACAGCACCTCTTAGATCTTCTGTCAGCTTTGTCAGCCATTTGAATGAGTCACGGCCATTGCTTGGCCAAGTTGCTTTCTGTGAAAGTTTGAGAGTTTTTCTTCTCCAGTGACTCTGCTTAGGCACACAGTCCATTGTTGAATCACTCCTCTGTGGTCCCATGGTCTCCTTGATCAGCAAGTCAGGGGCTCAGCTGAGGCTGTTGCAGCGGAAGTTCTCTTACAACTTGGGTCCTCCTTGACCTTGGAGGGCTAGGGCCAAAATGGTGCCTGTCCTCTTGGCCCATTTATCTTTCCAATTGTCAAATCTCCAAACCTCAGTTGTTAAAAGTCTAGAAGAGAAGCTTAATGACATTGCACGATAATAGAGGCAGTAAACTTAAAATTACTGTCTTATCTGAATATCCAACACTTTAGAACATAAAATAGAACTGTTATTTTCTAACAATCATTAGCTATTCTAATATTTAAATCCCTACAGAATATTAACAGACAGCAGTTACATATTTTTATTTTTTATTTTTTTATTTTTAAAATTTTATTTATTTATTTATGTGTGTGTGTGTGTGTGTGGCCAGCTCAGCCCAGCAGGGGGCGGGGCTGGCTGGCATGTGGTGCTGGGGGATTGAACCACGGTCCCTGTGCTTTGCTAAGCTTGTTCTAAGTAGGTGCTTTAGACCACTGAGCCATCTCACCAGTCCCCAGTTACATATTTTTAAACAGTATATTTTTTTTTTTTTGGCACTAGGAATTGAACTCAGGACCTTGTGCTTGCCAGGCAGGTGCTTATGCTCCTGAGCTATCTCCCTGGCCCAATAATTAAATATATTTACATAGAAATTAGGGGGCGGGCCAGAGAGCTCGGCTTGATCCCGGCGTGCCTTGCCAGCCCTGCCCCAGGGCGATTGAGACTGGGCATCATAGCACATGCCTGTAATCCCAGCACTTGGGAGGCTGAAAACAGGAGAATCACTATGAATCTGATCTATGTAGTAAGACCCTGTACTACATACATTAAAAAAAAAAGAAAGAAAGAAAGAAAGAAAGAGAAAGTAGACACCAAAACCATGTATAACACTGCAGCATGACAATCATGATAACATTTTTTTCTTCTTGGTACTGGGGATTGAACTCAGGACCCTGCACTTGCCAGCTCTACTGAGCTATCTCTCCTGGGCCCATGATAACATTTTGTAATGTACTTAAATTTTCATTTTGACATAATATAACTGCTTTTAACCAATTATCTCTATGTAACAAATAAGCTTTTTCCTAATTTGTTACTTTTAACAGCATATATGTCTCATAAAATTTTGTTAAAGGCAGAGGTCCGAATTTTTTTAAAAAAGACTTACCCTATAAGCAATCCTTATTTTACATTTTGGAAGACCTACATACATCCAGAATCATGAATACATTTTTTTAGATGTATTTAATACAGGGTCTTACTACACAGATCAGACTCATAGTGATCTACCTGTTTTCAGGCTCCCAAGCGCTGGGATTACAGGCCTGCGCTACCACGCCCAGTTCTCATGAATGTATTTCATGACCGTAAGATTAACACTACTGAGTTGCCATACACCTATAAAAACCTTTGTGGGGCCCGCCTGATAGCTCAGTGGACTAAAGTGCCAGTTTAGGCAGATCGCAGCAGGTGGGGTTCAATCCCTGCATGCCATGCTGGCCCCAACCTCGGAGTGCGCTGAGATGGCAAAAGACTGGGCATGGTGGCACGTGCCGGTAACCCCAGCACTTGGGAGGCTGAAAACAGGAGAATCACTATGACGCCAGTCTACATAGTGACACCCTGTAGACCCTGGCCTAAATACAGAAAACACAACAACAACAGAAAAACCACCTTTGTTTCTTAATTTTATTTTGTACCAAGAGCATCTTTTATAAGAAAATCTTTTTGTATTTTTCCTGGTTCAACAAATTGAGAGAAATCAGCAACATAACTATCATTTATATATAAGTATAGATTTTTTTCAAAACTTTGCTGTTGACCAATAACCAAATTATTGGGATGTCTCCCAAGAAACCATGGCGATCACTGGCGATTCCTTTTTTTTTTTTTTTTCAGAACCGGGGATTGAACTCAGGCCCTTACACTTGCCAGGGAAGCGCTTATTCTACTGAGCCATCTCCCCGGCCCGGGGATTCCTTATTAGTGAACAAAAGTTAACTGCCCTTCTATTCACCAACTGTCCAATAATCTTTCCCCACCCTAAGGAATTGTTTAATTATCTTTTTTTTTTGCGGCATCAGGGATTGAACTCAGGCCCTTGCGCTTGCCAAACAAGCACTTATTCTACTGAGCTATCTTCCCAGTCCCAGTCTTAAATTTTTTGATGACCTATAAGTAAATGAAATTTGATAGCATTTTGACCAGCTGGTATCTCAGGTAGAAGCACGCTTTTAAGTCTATAACCCAAATTGGTTTTTTGTTTGTTTGTTTGTTTGTTTTGTTTTTTTGTTTGGTATCAGGAATCCAACTCAGGACCTTGCCCTTGCCAGGCAAGTATTGTGCTGCTGAACTATATCCCCACCCACCAAATTGTGTTGTGAAACAAAAGGTTCAAAAATGCAAAACAAAAAAGTAGAAGAGATTTGTTGAGCTCAAATAAAAGTGAACAGTTGTGCACAGAATGACAAACAAGTAAAGTAGTGCACAGAACAAACATCTTATAAAACCAGAGTGCACTCAAATATATTTTTGACCAAATTGAATTATAGTAACTTTAGTACAATTTTTAGAAATTTATAATTATAAATGAACAAGTCAGCTTTTGTTGTTTGGCAATTAGCAAAAGAATTTGGGGGGAATAAAGTCTTTTATCTATAATATATATATGATTTTATTGTGTCTTAAGAATACTGGTAACTTTCAGCTCAGTTTTTTTCATATGCTATATCACCTGTTCAAACCTTTCATTCCCATTTGTATTACTAATTTCTGGGCATTCTGCATCAATTCCTTTGGTTGACCCCAGGTCAGGTTTAGTCTCATCCTTGTCTATGAGCTGTAGAGAAATCTGCGAGATATCACTGTCACCCTCGTACCAAATTAAGTCACTCAGCATTTTCTGGAAAAACATAAGCACACCCTCTACCACAAATAAGTAGTGGACCAGGTCCAGTATGGAGATCTTTCAGAGGTACCCTTTCTAGCTATTTTTCTTTTACCTGATAGCATTTTCTTTCTGCTGCTGTACTTCTATCTTTTGTAGAATTGAAAAAGTCAATAGTATATACTGCCAAGTAAAGTCTCTTATGAGGTGTGAATGTTGGAGGAGAAAGTCTCCTTTTTGTTTTTGTAATTGAGGTTTGGTCATGCAGTGAGCTTATTCAATAGTTCCTTGACCTTGAGGGTTATAAAGAGCTCCTGTGGAAAGGAAAATAGGAAAAGTGTTACAAAACCTTTGGAAAGTAGCACTTGTACATACTGGGTCAGTGTGCACATAGGCAATCAGGGCACTAAAGACATCCAAGCAATGAGCCATGACATGTTTAGCTGCTTCTCCAGTGCAGGCAGAAGCAAACATGAATCCTGAGAAAGTATACACTGAGATGTGGGCCCAATGCCAAGAACCAAATTCAGGAATGTGAGTGACATCCAGCTGCCACAGATGATTGGGGCACAACCCTCAGAGACGGATCCACCTCCGTAGAAGATGAGGGAAGGTGTATTACCATGAGAAACGTCATTTAACATGACCTGTTCCCAGGTCAAATGAGCTGTTCGTAAAAGGCAGAAGCATGTTGATGAAACGTGGCATGAGAAGCAGAAGCCTATTGAGTGGTCTCCAAGGGGGCAATGGGAACAACACCCAGCCGTTTGTGCGTAGTAGCATTTCCTCAGTGAGCGACCCTGGCAATAGGGAATGAGAAGGCATGTGACCAGTAAAACGGAACATGATGTATGTGACAACTTCCACAGTGTGAAGTATATGAAAAAGCCCTCAGCCAGTGTGTGTATAGTGGCAGTTTTAGTGTGGCGCATCACGCTGCAGGCACAAGCACTGTCTGTAAAGAAGTTAATTGGAACACGGATGGATGGTCTTGAAAGTTCCATGTGGCTGCTTGTAGTGCAGTCTTGT